TAGGAAGACCAAGATGTAGGTGGGTGGACAATATTAAAAAGAATCTTAGGGAGCTAGGATGGGATGGCACGAATTAGATTGATCTGGCTCAGGATAGGGACCAGTGGAGGGCTATTACGAATATGGTAATGAACCTTCGGGTTTCATAAAATGCTGGGAAGTTCTTGAGTAGGTGCAAAATTGGAGGCTTCTCAAGAAGGACTCAGCTCTGTGAGGGAGAGAGTACAATTTGATATACACGTACAGAAGACCGTTTGAATTCGCACATAGCTTTGTGTAGACTCCTTCCTACCAGAAGTAATAAAAATTTGTGAACTGGTTCATAAGTTGGCCTGAATATGTGTTCTCTTTATATAAGGTAACTGGTAAAGTTGTCCCTGTGCGTAACAAAATAAGCACTACACCATGAAGTCGTCTGGGGGAGTGGATGTATAGATCCACATTTTCTTGTCCTCAACACTAGCTGGAGGTGAGTGGTCAGCTTCAGGCACCGGCCGCTCTACCCTGGGGAAACAGCCCCCGTTACCCTTTGGATAGGAGGTTGGGTGGATCCCAGAGCCAGTCTGGACGACATGGAGAAATGAAAATTCTTGACCCTACCGGGACACGAACTCCAACCCCTCGGTCGTCCAGCCCGTATCCAGTCGCTATACTGACTACACTATCCCGGCTCGGTTCTCTTTGTGTATTTGGTGAAAATAACACATAAAAATTTGTTAACTGAGCACGGAAGAGAGTTAATCCACGAAAAAAAACATTGGGATCTGTCTCAGCGATTTTCTCGCTCTGCAAGAAAGGTTGGCTTATTTATAACCACTTCCGCCAATCACACTTTTGTTAACAGGCTGGGTAACCCACAGACTTATGGTATGGCTGAGGGACAAAACCATTAAAAAAAAGCAACCTAAATTTTCTAAATTTAAGGAGATATAAACTTTTTAAAATGAAGAAAAGAGGCCACAGAGTGTAAACATTCCAACCTATAAATAAGGCAATTGTAGTAACACCTATTCGCTTCTCTAACTTTAATTATTGACGTCGTAGTTTTCATATCTCAGATTAAATTTATGTATTGTATTGTATTTATGTAACGGAGGTTGGCACAACAAAATACAAGGTAAATAGCGTTCTTGGGATGTTTGGTGTTGACGGGCCAATCCTAAACAACCATCACCATACTAGTTCTGTCCCCCATCTAATTTTGTTACATTTCAATCGCACGGCGAATCTGCACATATTAATATTAGACGTAACGTATATGTACCTGTTCAAGCATTGATGTTGTATGATTTTAAGTTATATGTTTAGTAAATGTTGAAAAAAGTGTGTTTTCGTTGTTTATGCTTCAACTTCATTGTACTATTTCCCTCAGGATACCTAAAACAAGCCCATACGATGAATTTTTAAATAAAATAACTTATTAAACATACATAAAGTTCCAAGATTTGACTTTTAAAGATTTAATCTTTTCTTGTGAAAGTAGTAAAAGTCGGGGTTACGTCTTCATTTCAACGTGTGTGTTGCTTAGGGTCTGTCGACTCCACTGTACAATCCCGTCAAAATTACTAAACAATTCATCAGAAGGTATTAGTGGATGAATCTTTATACCTAAGATTTATAAGATTTACAAACGAGAGACAATTTTCTGAACATCGTATTATTAAGATGGTCAGCGCAGTTGGGGTGATGAAAGAGGATACACAGACAGTCTGGTAGTGTAAAGTAAAAGTAAAGCTATCCTTGTAACAGCCCGTGAAGGCCCGTAGGGTTGTGAGACGTTAAGGGTCCAACATTACCTTGACAATCGGCTCAGAGATGGCGGTAAGGTTGTCAGCCTTACGCGCCGGCCGCGCTTCACTCCCCAGGAAAATCATTTAATTAATGCCTGATAAACATTTCTGTTAGAGGCTGAGTAAACCCCAGGGCCTAGTGCGGCCGGAAGATGTATTATTAATACCCATATTTCAAATATGGCCAAGAAAACAGACGCAACTCGTTGAAGAAATTTCCAAGCACGAAAAGAAATATGGAAAAGAATTAACTTCTGTATTAGACTGTGGCTCATTATTCCTATCATTACAAATATTTCTGGATAATTAAGAGAACAGCAAACAGGCAAAGGGGTTCAGCGCTTTGCCTTGCATAATCTTCATAAACATAAAAATATTTATCGAGGCTCAGCAAGATTTCACGGGCCGGTCACGGTAGCCGAGCGTTCTAAGGCATGTACTGTCTTCACTCGCTTGGAAACCGGGATCGTGGGTTCGAATCCCACTCAGGGCATGGATGTTTAGTTTGTGTGTGTGCGATTTTCTTTGTTTGTGTACAGGTAGAGGCCTTGCGACGAGCTGATCACCCGCCCAAGGAGTCCTACCGAATGTGTAAGATCTAGAAAAACCGAAGTGAACGGAGAAGTTCGTGGAGGTAGGCCTAGGCCCACTGGGGCTGTAGTGCCAAGGGGGGGGGGGAAGAAAAAAAAGATTTCGCGACGAAAAATTTCGTAATTTATACTGTTGACGAATTTTATTGAGATGTGCAAATGGAGCATTAGATTGGAAGGGTATATATTTACTTACTCATAGAGCTGAGCCTTGTTGAGAAGTCGCCAATTATGCACCTACTCAAGAATTTCCCAGCATTTTATGGAACCAGAAGGTCCATTACCGTATTCGCAAGAGCCCTCCACTGGTGCCTATCCTGAGAGAGATTAAACCAATGCATACAACTTCATCCTTTCTCTCTAAGATTCAGATTAATATTGTTCACCCACCTACAACTTGGTTTTCCTAGTGGCCTCTTTCTTTCTAGCTTACCCACCAATATTCTACATGCAGCTAATGGACAAGATGATAAGCCTCTTAGTTCCCTAAACCGCCAGCTGAACTACAGTCATCTTCTTCTCAAAGAAAACTCAATTAATTTACTTCACCGCGATAAGGCGTCCCCTACTAGACGCTGGAGACGACAGCAGTATGCAGAAAGGCCTCCAGTCTGGAGCCTCGGAAAGGTCTTAAGAACCCATCACCGCAAGCAGGGTAACCAGGATGTTGCGAAATATCAAATTGGTCGTCGCAGTAGACGGGCTGTTGTAAACACAGTAAAAAAACTTCCCGGTTTTACATAAAACTCCGTGGCCTGTAGTCCGCAAGCGTTCTATACCGACCGAGCGACCGCATCTTGTCGGCGAGTACCAACTTTTGCGGATAGAGGGTGTCACATGGTCAGCTCAACGGATCCCCAAGGCCGTTAATCTCCGCTTCCTAGACCGAGGCCGCTACTGTTCCATTCATGTAGCTCCTCAATTATCCTCACGAGGTTGAGTGGACCCCGTTCCAGGCCCACTAATTCTCAGAAAATCTGGTAGCGCCGGGAATCGAACCCGGGACCTCTGGCTCTGTAGCCAGGAACTCTGACCACTAGACGACAGAGGCTGTCGCCGGTTTTACATAAGTCTGAGAAATTCCTGATAGGCTGAGAGCTCACCAGTTTCTTTTGAAAGATTTTGTTCTATGGAGTTATATAATTCGGCAGTTACTGAGTGACTTCTTAAAATAAGTATCAGAGTACACTGAGGATCTGGGATAGCTCAGTCGATGTAAGGTAGGCTACGGTTTGGACGGCCGAAGTTTTATTCCCAGTAGGGGTAAGAGATCTTTCTCTTCTCCAAAGTGTCCAGACCGGTTCTGGGGCCAACCCTGTCTCCTGTCCAATGGGTACAGGGGGTAAAGCTGACCACTCACCTTCATCTAGTACCGAGGTGAAGAATATTGGAGCATAACTTTCACTCCCTCCCATGTGTCTTCATGGAGTGGTGCTTAACTAATTGAGCACAGAACAAATTTACCTTTACCTATCAGAGTGCATTATCTTGTGAATGACTGTACACCAACACATTAATTCGGTCCTTTATGTCGTTGTTCTTTTTAACGACCAGTACCAAGTGCCGTAAACTCTTAGGCAGAGTAAAACTGCAGTATTTACGACGGACTCTATATTTTTTACGGCCTCATTTCTTAAGAAAGTGTTGGAGGGTCACTCTCATCACACAGACATGGAAATGTCTGCTGTGCCATATATTATGCACAAAACACATATCTTGTATGCATCGCATAGTAAATGTTCTTACAGCAATCACTTTGCACGAGAAAGTTGAACGTTAAAATTACCCTCGCGCCTAAGCACGCGAGCTACAAGAATTCCTGGCCTTCTTCAGATTCACGCTTCTAAACTTTCTGTGCGTTGGGGTATAGGAATGAAAATCAAAATTCTGCAGCCATTTCCTCCTGTTAACTATTTCTAATCATTCTAATGTCTTCGCTTTCATACTGGTCTTATCAGAAGAATGAATGGGTAAAGCCTAGGAACCTCCTTATAAAAATTATGCTTATTTTCACCCCACCCCCCTACAATAAAGCTTCTCTCAATTATCCCATGACTTCTCCTTTCAACTTCTCTTCTATCATTTCATCTTACCTGCCGTGTTTCTAAACGCTGCAACATACAGAAAAGTGGCAACGCCCTTAACAAGAATCGAGTTCTGGCCATCCGCCCTGTAGCCTGCTAGTTTACTTGCAAATATGTCTTTATCAGTTCTATTATGTTATCAGACGCAATAAAGAACGCTTATGTGAAGTGAAAGCGGAAGCTGTCCCCGTCCTTAATTAATTAAGCACCACACCATGAAGACGTATGGGGAGTGGAGGTACAACTACCGTTCTTGACCTCTGCATTAGACGGAGGTGAGTGGTCAGATTCACGTCCTAGCCGCTTTGCCCCCAGCACGTCTGTTACAAGTATTAAACCTCAAACAGACTCCTCCCATATGTTCGTATATGATGTAAACCGTTTCCAGTCTTGTTGCAATACGTAACGGGATATGAAGGAAAGATTTTGGAAAAAATATACACTCTCTTAGCAGTGGTGTGCTTACGTTCACAAGGCGTATTTCGTCAATCAGTTTCTTTATTCAATAAGACAAGATATGTTATTACTGATTTCAGACCTTCACGGTGGTTCACAGTGACAACCTGCAGACATTCACTCGGGGCATGGATCCAGTAGCAGAATCATCACAGAGATGCGCTGCTGTCATCATTCCGGTACATGGTTCTGCCTGGGGCGTCTTTGCCTCATAACCAGAAAATAGGCCGATTTACATCGAAATCGTTTTAAGGAGTATGCGACAGGAAACCAACCCTCCTCCATACTTCGCATCAGTGAATGACACCTGCAGTACCGTACTTCAGGTAAGGAGAGCATTAACTCCATATAACGTAGAGTCGAAGTTTTGCATCTCGAAAGATACTTGAAATTTATACAGTTTTTGTGAGGTAATTTTTATTTAAATCTGAAGTAGAAACATGGCGTCCGAGCGAAATAATTGATGAATTACCGTGAATAGACGTGTAAAGTCTTAATGGTGCTATGTTACTCATAGGCGAAATTAAGTAAAGAGAGCGGGAAATTGTCTCTCATGCAACTGCTGAAGGATTCCTCAACCAGTCACGAAATGTCTTTAACTGAAAATTAATGATCACTAAATACATGCTTCATGAGATCTATTTGCTTGTAAGACGGTACAAAACAAAAAAGAACTCCGTGGCTTGAGTCCGCAAGCGAACTATACCGACCGAGCGACCGCCGCTTGTCGGTGAAGTTAGTGCCAACTTTAGCGGATAGAGGGTGCCGCGTGGTCAACGCAATGGATCCCAGCGGCCGTTAATTTCGACTTTCTAGACAGGAGCCTCGATTTCCTTGAAATAGCTCTCGGTTATCCTCATGAGGCTGAGTGGACCCCGTTCCAGACCCACTACTTATCAGAGAATCTTGTAGCGCAGGGAATCGAACCCGGGACCTCTAGATCTGTAGCCAGGAACTCTGGCCACTAGACCACAGTGGCGGTCTGTAATACGGTACTCTTTCTTAAAAGGTTAACGAAGTTAAAATTAAGCTTCATGTAAATCGTAGGTAACAAATTATTAGGCCAATAATTAGTCCTCAACAGGCTTCAATGACATAAGTCCATAAGTCTTTGAGAAGCTATTAGTGGATCAACTAGACAAGTTCTTCCCCAGTTCTTAAGGTACTCAAAGGTTCATTGTCTCGCTGACGCCAGTGACTCCTACTTTGAGCCAGATGAATTCAATCCACATCGTAAAACTCTATTTCTTTAATATCCTCCCATATACGCCTAGACATTCCTAGTGGATTCATTGCTTCAGTCTTTCGTATCAGAATTTTGTAAGCGTTTCTCTTCTCCCTCATGAGTACTGCATGTCCCTTGCACCCATCCTCCCCTGATTTGAGCATCCTAATAATATTTGTCGAGGAGTACAAATTATGAAGTCCCTAATTATGCAAATTACTCCACCTTCATATTACATTAATTTTGTTTCAAATATTCTCCTCAACTGTCTATTCTCAAATGCCCTCAGTCTGTGTCATTTTCTTAATAAGAGAGGCCACGTTTCACAACTATACAAAATAACAAGCCAAATTACAACTTTCTATTTTAATTTTTACGCTTTTAGATTGGAGATTAAAAATTAGATTTAAAATTAAATGCTGGCCATACGTAATACCATTAAATTCACGGTTCTTTAACCGGGAATTTAATGGTATTACGTATGGCCAGCATTTAATTTGATCTGAATGTCTTGGCGACCGCAGTTTTGTTTTATTAGCATAGCTCCTAAATAGGGGCTCTTTGTACCAAAATGAAATACGTCTCCCGGATTATATTATCACGTGTTTCAGTGACTAAGACGCGGGTTTGGATTGGTGAATCGGTTTATTGGATTTTCACTAGTCGTAACTAAAATTTCTGTTACACACTACGAGCAAGTCTTCTAATTTTTCTTCTGGTCACACTGCTAATCCCTTGGAACTTCGGGACTCAAGTGAAATCAATTCCCATTCCCGTATTCTCTCATGTCCTCTCAGCACGGACCACACACAGAAAACACAGCCCCTTTATTGTTGCATGGCGCAGACCACACTGAAAACAAGTCACGTGATAGCTATGTCACCAGTCCATTGGCGAGCTGATTGTTGCCTAGCAATGAGCTATAAACATTCGTCCTATTATTGCGTGACCTTAAACGAAAAGGCTTTTATCGCGCAGTTGCCTAGCTATGCAAGTTGCAATATAATCGACTGCTGTGTCAAATATTATCAAAATCCATTGATATTTTTATAGAAATTTAGCCACGAAAATCTGATTGGAAGGGACGGCAACGAAGATAAAATTAGATACAAGAATAATATTAAAGTTGTTGAAGAAATGGAGTTTGAGGTTGTGAGCTGGATTAATTTGTTTTTCATGAGAGGGACGAGTGGCTTTCGTGTTCCATAAAAGGCTGAAAATTTATTTTAACTAAGCGATTATGCACTCACTAAAGTAGTTTGTAAATTATTTTGGGATGTGAAATTTGCAGATGGATAATATACTCATTGTGCTTTCGCTTTAAACTTGATTTGGTTCATCGTGGTCCGTCACACTAGCACTGTTTGAAAAGATTATCAACTCCGCCCAGTGTGACCGATATTTTTTCTCTCTTTTCCATCTTTCATCCTTGACATGTTTCGGTCTGAGAGACCATCTTCAGAAGGATATCATTACAGGCGGAACTACTGTTACAACGTGATTGGTCAATATCAGTACGTACATACAATATCATCATAACGTCATGAATATAAAATTCGATCCTGCAACGACTACAGCGATATGCATGAATATATTAAAATATTTATAAATTATTATTATTATACTATTAGTCTGTTTACATGTGTGGTTTGAAAAAGGTTTTGTTAAAATTTAGAACCAATTTAGTTCGCATTCTTTATACTGCCGCTCTTTAAAGGAAGTTGAGGGTCTACAGCCTCGTGGTTCTGTTGTTTGACGAATAGGACTCTTCAGTGTCGTCCTGTTGTTCTGGCCGCGCTGTGTTTTGTGTTCGCTTCATGCACTCTGTGTATACAAGAGCAGCTTGTTGTTATACAGAATATTTGTTTATAATCTTACAGATACGATTGCATGCAAATTCGAAGCCATGATCCCAGCAGTGGCACTATCCCACCGATCATTCACCCTCTCTATAACCCACTCACTCACTCACTACGTGAAGTGCTGAAATTGAGATTCATACGCCAGATGAAGTTGCGAAATTGAGGTGTAGTGTATGTTTATTTGTGTGCAAATTTGACAACGGGGAAATTCCCTCCGTGGCTGACGGTGGGAAGCAGAATGCAGACTTCCTTCATATTTCTCGTTTAACGGACAATTGACGTTCGAACTTTTCTTACCCCATTCACGTGTATCCGGAAAATGTCCCGCATTTCCCAGTGGAATTAAGACAGAGTAAACTTGTAAAAGAAGTCTTTAACATTTAGCCTATAGTCTGAGTTAAGTTCCAGCAAACGCCTAACCTCAAGCAGCACTGTATGCACTGTCTCGGGAAAACAATAGATTATGGCCCTAACGGTGTGGGGTTTAAGGAAGTTTGTAATATTATGGTAAAAGCAATTCGTATATGAAAGTGAATTTCTGAGGAGCATACTGGAATCCATGAAGAAGAATGTACCAGAAAAATGGAGAAAAATGCATAATAAAGATTTTCAGAAAGAGTTCTATTTCGTGGGATGTAACGCCATGTAATCTAAGAGTCAACATATCTTTCGGAGGAACATATCCACTTCCATGGCTCAAGAGCAAGCCAAGCAAGAAGCGGCCCGGGTTCGATCCCGGGTCTGGTCAAGTGGGTTTTGTGGTGGACAAAGTGGCGCTGGGGCAGGTTTTATCCGAGTACTTCGGTTTCCCCTGCCAATCTTCATTCCTCCAATTTCTCCACACTCACCCTCACCTATCATCTGGGGCTGGTACAATAGGCCAGAAGTGGCCGCAGTACAAGGGACTTAGTCCCACCCCACTAGCAATAAAAAAAACACATGAAATATGCAGCAAGCAGAATGTTCCTCCGCAACATCGGTTGAATTTCAACGGGCTGCATAGCATTATATCACAGAGGACAAAACACTTCATAACTACCGCTTTGAGAACAGCAGATCCTGAAAATTTTTCATAATTTGTTATTATTTACCTAACACTTTCTGTGATTGAAGTTAGCAGAATGGGATGGCTGACTGGCCTATGCAAAGGATAGAACTCTTGGAGGAAATGAGAAATTATCTTAAGGACAGAAGCATTTGAGATGATAATATTAAAATGAATAGAGAAATAGCATACGAATCCAAGGCTCCAATTCAGCCTGGTCACGATCTGATTCAGTGGCTATGTTATGATCCCCTATCATTAAAAATACTAACATATTGGTTTACGAACTTCTTATATGGAGGCGACAGAAAAAACTCCGTGACCTGTAGTCCGCAAGCGAACTATACCGACCGAGAGACCGTCGCTTGTCGGCGAAGTTTAGTGTCAAATTTGCGGATAGAGGGTGTCGCGTGGTCAGCGCAAGGAATCCCCACGGCCGTTAATTTCGGTATTCTAGACCGGAGCCGCTATTTTCTTGAAACAGCTCCTCAATTATCCTCACTAGACTGAGTGGACTCCGTTCCACAACCACTACTTCTCATGAAATCTGGTAGCGTCGGGAATCGAACCCGGGTCCTCTGGATCTGTAGCCAGGAATTCTGACCACAAGATCACAGAGGCGGTCGGGGTGAGAGAAACGCCACTTAATTCAGAATTATGAAAAATTATATGGTAGCGTATCCTAGAGAAATGTGTAGTCGATATTTTACATTAATTTTTGCATAATTTAAAACAACATTGTGGCCACTAGAAATCTAAAGACATATTCAACGTTTAGTTTTATGGCGACTCCAAATAAACTATGATGCTAGGATTGTTACACTTTGCATGGAAGCATCATAAGCTACCTACAAACTTAGTGTGAAAGAATTTTTCTATGCATTAAAGTTAAAAGCATGGGTAGACTGAAATCCTCTAAGGTTTTTTTTTTCTGACAAAACACATCTACAATCTGTACTGCTATATATTAAATCCATTAAACTATATATTGTGAAGAGTATGACCATTTGCTAGGCAACGGCTCAGTAAACACCATCTGAAAGCCTAAATAACAACGAACAGAAGTGGAAGTCCATTTGCTAGGCAACGCCTCGCTAGCACGCTTTCCCACTGCAACGAATATTAACCAAGACATTCCTGTGACAACGTGAGAATTACAATTAACTGTTCGAGATGGTGGCCGCTATTCGGTTC